GGACATTCCTTTTAACTTAAGTATAGGGAGCGAAATGCAGAATTGCCGGCACAATCTAACGGCTCGACCTAGGCTCGTGATAGTCGGTGTATAGCTCATGGTAGGAAAGCCATCACTGTGCCGAAATTGGAGGTCACCAGGTCAAAGGTCAATGGGGCACAGGGCAGATTTTAGACATTTTCTGAAGGACATGGTCGTGACGGAGCGATTGGAAAACTTTTTTGTTTCAGCGGTGACTAGCATTTTATGGCTTTATTGAAAGAGACCATGAAATGTACTTTCTGCTGACATGCGAAGAGTAAGTGTCGGATAACCTTTTGATTCTCAAGAGGAGGGTTAAACATGGATTTTTACTTTAGAAAGAATTTGACTGCCGGGTTTGCTAGTAGAATCTATACATGACTGGATGTATGAGGTTACAATGTCAGAGTGTGAAATTTCAAAAGCCTAAATTTGGTTGAAGAGGTTTTATGCTCCTTAAATCGTATAATTTTATGGCATTCTGTAGCTGTCAGTGTGTTACATGGAACTTATGCCACTGCCAGTGGCCACTGCCATGCATGTGGTGCGGTGATAGTACTGTTGTAGTTTTTGCCTGCGTTAATTAGTTACAGGTGGCAGCTTCTCATTTCGCCTGTAGGCTTGCGTAGGTAAATGGATGAGTGCTTACCTATTCTGTCTTGCAATAGTTGTTGTTACTACGTACGATGGGTTGTACTCATCTTTAATCTTAAGACACTTAAACGTACGCGCCATCTCGTGCGCTTTCATACGATCAGAACATTCCTTTGGAAGGTTCCTGATACCATCCCTGTGCCTTCCACTGTTTCGGCAGTATGTGAACACATTTGGGACTAAACAGGGTTTACTAGAATCCCACCACTCGCACAGAGTCACCGCAGTAGACGTTAGATGAGCGCTGTCGCTCGCGGCACTTGTTAATTCTTGTTGCGTTATTGACCTATGTCCAGCCCATTTCGCCGTCCCCGCCTCTACAATTTCGTACCAGGAAAATGACATGGTTCGAAAACAGATTTCTCATATTTTACAACGGATGCACATATAATTTTTAATCATTTCCATGATAAAACGATTGCAATATTTCAGTGTGTGCGTGTATTTATATGGCACATGAAATTTTTTACAGTTGAGTAGTTTCGAAATAAATTCAATTGCGTCCTGTTAAATTAATTGGTTCAGTAATCTTTCTTCAAATGAGGGGTTTGTGCTAATAAAACGACACAGTTGGAAACAACAGCAATAACACCAACCCTAACTCTAACAATAACTCCAACCCTAACTCTAACAATAACTCCAACCCTAACTCTAACAATAACACCAACCCTAACTTTAGCACTAACCTTATACCGAACAGCAGCAATAAACCTCAGCCCTACCTCTATAGCGCACACACGTTCACTTGTCTCATCATCGCTCTCTCGCTCTCTCTCTCGCAGGAGATGTGCATCAACTGCGGCAAGTGCTACATGACGTGCAACGACTCCGGCTACCAGTCGATAACCTTTGACCCCGTGACGCACCTGACGCGCGTGACGGACGACTGCACGGGCTGCACGCTGTGCGTGTCCGTGTGTCCGATCATCGACTGCATCCGCATGGTCGAGCGCGACACGCCGTACGTGCCGAGACGCGGCATCCCGCTCGCGACCAACGTCGTCTCACACATGCCGTCGCAGTAGCCCCGCCCGCCCGCACAGCGCGTGGCCGACGCCTGTGGCGAGGGTCACACGGCGCAGCACGGTGCGTGCTACCCCTGAGGGTCACATGGTGCGCAGGGGGGGTGGAGAGGGTCAAGCGTGGGGGAGAGGCGGGACGGCTACCGGCACATCGAATTGGCGGTTTTTTTTCGTCGGAAGGAGGGGGAGGAGGTGGTTTCTTGACCCCCGGGGGGTCGCCAAGCGTGCGTGGGGGGAGGGAGGCGGGATGGACGACTTCCGGCACATCAAATCGCCGGGTTTTTTGCGTCGGAAGGAAAGGGAGGCGGTGGTTTCTTGACCCCACGGGGAAAAGATTTTTTTCCCACGACAGCTCCGTACCACAGCCAATCAGCGCACTCCATTCACTCAACTTCCTCAAACCAACAATGTAAAATGAATATGCCCGAACCCGAACCCGAACCCGAACCCGAACCCGAACTATAATCCAACCATATATATATACGAACCATATATTACAAAACACTATCTATGGTGGGTCCGGAGCTCTCGTGGGGAAAAAAATTTTGCCCCCGGGGGTCACATGGCGCGCGTGGGACGAGGGTCACGTGCGTCAAGCAGTGCGTGAGGGAGAGGCGGCGGAACGGCTACCGGCACATCAAATCGCCGGGTTTTTTCTGCATCGGGAGGATGAGGCGGTGATTTCTTCACCCCAGTGGGGTCGCGACTCCGAGACCGGGGGGTCGCCGGCACATACATGTATCGTCCGGTCGAGGCGGCGCGTGCAACTGTCCGGGGCTGACCGGTGCGGGTCACGGCAAGGTCATAGGTCAACGAAGGTCAGGCCGGGATGGCCGCACGGCGCGAATTCTGGGTCGCAGCCCTAGAAGGGTTGGGAAGCCTTGCATGTTAGAAATGTGGGTCGGGGGGAGGGGGGCTTTATGATTAGTTGGGGGGGATTAGATGTCTTCCCTTGTAGATTGGTCTCTGAGTGGTGAGGCCAGAGCTGTGCACATGCACGCTCAACAAATTCAGTTATGTAAAGGGGCCACCACGGTTGATGGCACGTATCATGCAAGCTCGCTTGCTAGAAGGCGTGTCAGTCCGTGTTTAGTCTGTTAGCGTATTGATTGTTATTCACTAGTGCGTCGTAGATGTTATTGTCGAGTTGTAGATGCTGTGAATGTAGGATGTGAATGTAGGAGCATACGTCAAACCATCCCACATTGGCAAAAATACGTCGATCCCGTACAAAGATTTCTCCCAGGAAATTGTACATGTGTGCCCTGTAGCGATCGATGAGTTGTTTTGTTGTTATTGTTGTTTTTGTTGTCGGTGAAGTTAGATGCGGAGTGCTTACATTGGCTTTCTCCGTGATCTAGTTGATCATGTCCAAAAAATACCATGTCTTTGCGGACACAACACGATATTGTGTATAGTGGTAGTTGATAGTACGGCTCAGGTGGATTTTGTGTTCGCGGTGTTTGTATGACCGCACCTATCATTAATGTCCTTAATGACCGTACCTATCATTAATGTCCTTAATGACGTTCTATATAATGTCCTTAATGACCGTACCTATCATTAATGTCTTTAATGAGCGTACCTATCATTAATTTCCTTAATGACCGTACCTATCATTAATGTCTTTAATGACCGTACCTATCATTAATGTCCTTAATGACCGTACCTATCATTAATGTCCTTAATGACCGTACCTATCATTAATGTCCTTAATGACACCCGGTAAATTTATTGTGATTAGCACGTCATTTGTGCTCGCGGCTGATGTTACTAATTGGAAGTAAATCTGATCACGTTTCTCACCGTATATATGCGCGCGACCCGAATATGTTTAGAACCTGTTGTGTTTATCGACTGGTTAAATTTATGAGAGCGTACATCTTCACAAACGAAGGGTATGTGAGCCCGTTTGCTGTGTTGGTTCGTAAAATAAGAAATTTCCTTTAAGAGATTTGACATTGTAGCCTCATGGCGACTGTTGGTTTATTTAGATGATACTCTCTTGTGAAGATGCCACACCGCAATCATATACTGGGTAAATTAAGAGGAGATTAAACGGTGAGTGATCATTGCAGCTTTGTTGAATTCTCCTGCAAAAAAAATATTTGCAATGTTTTTAATCTGTGATTTTCTGAGATAGTGTTTGTCAAAACGTGGTAGTGGTGCCGTAGGTAACGTGGGGGCACGATGTTGGGATAGGTAGCAGTGGTAGAGTGATGTGAAAATGCGATAGGTGGTCTTGGAAAACGTAGTCGAGGGAAGGATACGGTAGAAGCCATAACTAATCCACGGTCAGCTTCTCCTTTTCGGTCAAATTATTATAATAGTGGCAGAGTTGTTAATTACTGCCTGTCTAGTGACCGTATCGAATACGTCACTAGAAATCACGCTCATCCATTGAACAGCGTGCATCAGAGAGTGAAATCTAACTTCCACGTGTGGCGCCGGCCTTCTAATTAAAATTATCTCAAAGAGAAATCCGCCTGACATGGCGTTGACGTTTCTGCCTCATTAATTAGCAGTGGAAACATTTTACTTCCCCCTTTTCGCACACACGCGATGCGACGCCTCCTCCTCGCTGCGTTCACTGCGGCGCGTTTCACCCTGCAGTTAATTCCCGGTTGTATAGGCTGCCGAGAAGGGACTGTAACTGAAACCGAATCTTTTGTGAGTTTTTTTTAGCCGTAACCGACGCGTAGGTATTATTCTATCAAGGGGAACGCTGTACCATAGATATATACAAACACTTTGTGGTTGTATATATCTATGGCTGTACCTTGTAACCCATTTACCGCTATAGATACGGCAGCGTGGTCGGTCAAAGCTAGAAAGAACGTGTGTGGTGGGTTGAGTGGCGTGTGGGGTGGTAGGAAGGGGGTTAGTCAGGTAGAGTTTCATTTTGTGATTAAGATGTGCACACATGACCTCACCCACATGCGGTCGTGTTGGGTGTGGCTGTTTAGACCGGGATGGATGCTAGTAACAATACTGTCCCTGTATCGCACGTAAATGTCTCTAACTGTCTATAAGACCAACGATCTATGAATCGATCGCAAGTTTTCAAGTATAGATAATAATGAAAATAATAGAAGAAAGGTTTTGGGGGAGTCTTTTAGGCCCAGCTTGGATGAGCAGGACATATAGACAGCACGAGGTAAAGGACTCTCTGAATCTAACAGTAATTACTAATCGCACCAACGAATAAATGCCATTTGGGTTTGTCTTTGTTTTCAGTCACTCTCGATGATAATATTGATGCGATTCGATTTTTTATCGATTGTTATGAGGAGCGTATTTTTAGGAATTTCTGAATGTGCTTCTAACCGTATCGGTGTTCCTTCATGGAGAATAGTCACTACCGAAGCTCGAGTGCATATCATATGTCACCACTATATATGGAGAGTTGGATGTGGAATCATGTTAGAGGAAAGATAATTTTATAATCAGCGTTCATATTGTTACTTGTCGTACAAACATGCACATTGAGTTTCGTAGATAATTTTAACAATGTTTTTTCCATGGTTTCGCATGGAGTTTTCTGATATTGGTGTCGATTTTTCTGCGCCGTTGATAAAAGAACATGCTCAATTTGTTACTGGGCATTTTAATCCGGTGAAAACGCCTTAGTTACCTGCAAGGACCATAGTAACTTAACATGATTGATATCTGTATCTGCATGCCGGAATTTCAACAATGAGTTTGAGCCTAAAATTTTTATATTTTCGTAGTAATTACCAAATGATAAATGCACAAATCATGAACTCTGGAAGTACAACATATATATATATATATTATATACTACTATGGTGTCACATAATTAATACTAGCCGATGTTATATTTGGCATCAATAGGCAAATTTTACATCCTGTTTGTTGCACGAACATACCCAGTTAAATTATGGTATATGATATTAATACAGTATTATTATATTCATTCGGTAGGTAATTGTTTATCTAGAAGTCATAGTTAGGGTTATTCTGACGCTGAGAGTGCGCGGCGTAAGTATTATTTTGTTATGTAAATTGTTTTGTTAGTGGCGGAGATCGAATGTTAGCGAGTTTACCGACATCGATGACAATGTGTGGCTCCCGGTAAAATTCTCCGGTCAGAAATGTTTTCTGCATGTTGCCGTGTGATGTCTGTTCGAATATCGTAGTCAAATTTTCATTTAAATCTGGGCGTCTGCATGACCGATGGCGGGTAGTTCGTTTGGTTACATAATTTTGCTAATTTTTCTCAGGGTTGTGTGTATCGCTTAGGTGTGTGTGCGTATCGCTCAGGTGCGTGCGTGCGTGTGTGTGTGTATCACCTAGGTGTGTGTGTGTATCGCTCATGTCTGTTTACAGTCGTTGAGTTGTCGGATATATCAAACACTTATTGCTGTCGACACGTGCGCTGCTTCCTGACGCGCACGCACGAGTCTACGGCGGCGGAAATCAATTCGCAGACGATTGTGGTGCGCGATCGGCTGCATGGAATATCGCATGTACGGTTGAGCATGGTTCTGCTCGATCCGGTTCTCCATCCGTTTCTCCATCCGGCTCTCCATCCGGCTCGCCATCCATTTCTCGATCCGGATCTCCATCCGTTTGTCCATCCGGATCTCCATCCGGCTCTCCATCCGTTTCTCGATCCGGCTCTCGGCGTGATTTACCGCCGTTACGGCGCCTTGTGTCGGTCGCGTAAAGAAGTCCGAACGGGCCGAATCCGAACACAACTGAGCAGTACGATTGCGTGCGTGCGTACATGCTCGTCTTTCGGGTACGAGTCGGATATTGACGTATATTGACGTATATTGACGTGCGACAGAGCATTCTATGATGTTCCTTGCGAACTTGGTCGTGCGTGCGTGCGTGCGTGCGTGCGTGCGTGCGTGCGTGCGTGCGTGCTCTTCCGTGCGCGCGCGTCTCTGTAGGCAGTGAGTTGGCGTGGGTTGTCTATATCGACTATTTACATATTTGAAGTTGATGATAACACTTCTGTGTGAAAGCATGCCACT